CAGTTACAGTTTTCACAGTTACAGTTATAACAGTTACACAGTTATGACAGTTACAGTTTTACAGTTAACTGTAACTGGTGCATGCCTAGGGACGACAGAAAGAAGAAAATAAAACTAGAGAGCAATTGCGCTGCGCACAAGTTGCGATGTCGCCAGACCTTGGTCATATTAACGGAAATAGAGAGATCAATAAAAAATTGAAGTTAAAAGTCTCTACTCAGCATTTAAATGTCTTACTGTTTTATTTATAAAGAACAAAGAATTAAACAAAGAACAAAATAATTATATTTCGTTTAAGAATAAATGGCGTCGGACAATCAACTCTTACAAATGAACGAAAAGTTTCGAAGTCCAAAAAACATTTTAGTTCTACTTGTGTAGTTTATGGCGCCGAATCTGGACTTGTGTTTGAAAAAGAACACGCCGAAGAACGTGCATTGATCAATCTCCCATGTCGGGAGATTATCCTCCCGTTTTCAGAAGTTTTCTACGTAGTGTAGTTCGCTAGATCACGTCATGCACATTTTGTAAACAAAATAAAAAAAAAATCCCAGCTAAAACACATAATGTTTGTCGACATAAATATTGCGTTATTGATTTTTGGCAGGCATCAGAAGTCGGAAATCTCAAAAATTTCTGAAGAGATTTTTAAACATTCTTTTTTTCATGAAAAACTAGGGCAAAATTCAAAAATTAGTCTCTTTCAACCTCTAGCCACATGAGTTGACTTCATTTTGAAAGTAACCAGAGCTCACCAATATCTTCCTGGGACGGAGAACTTGGGTAAATACGAACAGCCCTAAAGGAAAAAAACGGGTTTGAGAAAAACATAAAACAAGTTTTTACTAGAAAAAAATACATTATCCCATTGTAAGGAATTATTTTGTATTTTGTTGAAGCTTTTCTATAGGTTTACCATGAGGAATTTGGCGTATGCATCTGTATAAGATGATGCGTTTTCCACTAAAATATGTGTTTCTTATCTAAAACAAGACTTTTATACAAAACCATCATCGACGGTTGGAGACTTAGTCCATTTGAAAGTAGACATTTTATGGTATTCAATCATGTATTTATCTCAAAATCGATATTTTTGATCCAAATTGTCTTTTCTACCAGAAGGGAGCGGAAGGACTTTAACATGATTAAAATTAACGGCAGTAAACAATTTTTTATCATCATATAGTATTTCTTAAGCATTCTAATCAAATTTTACGATTTTGTCTACTGTTTCATTTATAACAATTGTATTTAGGATCTGATTTTTCCTTGCTAATTATTTTAACTGCTTGTTTTTCTCGATATTTTTGAATAGATGAATTTATCGTTTGAATATGTTTCTTTTTCATTGATAAACGTTTTTCCATTCGTTCTAATCGATTGAAAAAATATTTTAATTTTATTTTTAATTGCTTTCGTTCTTGTCTTAATTGTTGAATTTCAAATGGAAATATTGTAACTACACTATTTAAACACATCGAACGTAACGTTTTTTGTCGCGTTGTTTCTAATGTTTTCTCACATAATGGACATTTCGATGTTTGACGTAATTTTTTACGTATACAACATTTTCCATAAAGATGGCCGCACGTTGTTGTCACCAATTCATGTTTGCCTTTCTTATGTGTACACATTTTCAAACATAAATTACACAAAAATACCTCGTTTTCGGCTATATTTTTAAAAACATCTATCAAAATTTTCTTGTTGATTTTAGAAGAATCCTTAGTCATATTTTGACATGAAGAGCAAAATAAATCCGCAATATCATCGAATAATAAAGAAAAAACTTCAATCAAAAATACTATGGTTACGAAAACATCTAATTATCCTTGGTTGTCGAAATATGTCTTGTTTAACTCTTATAAAACAGTGTAGGATAAAATGGTGGGATTTTATTTTATTTTTCCACTCAAAACACCGACAACTCTGTCTAACCGTGATAAAAGAGTATCTTTTCTGCAAAAACCATCTGTTGTATTTGACATCAAAATAAATGAACTCTTCCACTGAATAAAATTTTAGTTAATTTTGAATATAGGTACTAATATGGAATGTTAAATATATTTCTTGTAAATTACAGCAGTAAACTCTAGTACTCTACAGCTGTAAGTGTTTCATTACATAAATTACAGGTACCAACTTAGTGCAAAACAAACACGGTTATAAACCCTTGAGAAATATGGATAATCTTTTCTGATAATTACTAATCTGCTTGTCTATCTGCATAAATCAGACCAACAATCATAGAAGATATATCTATCACACAGCTGTTTTTCGAACAATTTTTTTCTTCTTCTTGACATAAATAAATAAGATACTTTTATATATCTAATTGATCATTCTTCAATAACTCTATATCCAAAATTTTCAATAGTTGGCCAATAAAAGCTCAAGTTTCATCTTCCATTGTTTAGAATGAGAAGGATTATTTGACATTAACAAAAAAGTAATAACAATTGGCCTTGGCCTTTGATTATATTCTTTTTATGTTAATTGTAAAATAAAGATTAGCTGCAAATTGATCCAAATGTTTCTAATTAAAATATTTGTATATTTTGTCACTATTATAATTGAGAAACAGTCATTGTCACAAGATCATGAATAAAAAGATCACGTCTTTCTTCTATTTCTTTTCACAACAACTCTAGATTAAATATAACGCTTATATTTTACATAAAATTTGTGCGTATATTGAACAAAATGATGTGCACATTTTCAGAATACGAGGTCGAGATGTAGTTACAATTCGATTTGTGCTCTATGATTAAGACAAACAGAAGTTTTGAAAAAAGAAAGAGAAAGTAAAATTTCAAGAATTTGATTAAAATAGTAAATACTTAAAATAAATAGCGACTGATATTATTCATTCTCAATTTCAAGCGTCATAAATTTCCAACGATTAAACTTCGACAAACGTTAATGCAAAAGATTCATTCAAATTCGAACTTTCATGTATTTCTCCTTATTTAACGTACGTTTTCTTATTCTCAGTAGGAAAAAATGTTGCACTTAAGATATTTTTTTGTTTACATATGCATAAACTTTAATAATAAACAATATAACAATATTAGATTGAAAAATAGTAACAAATATGTAGGAAAAAGTGTTATAAAACATAATGAAATTATCAAGAGAACTACTAGTCAGATCACAATAAAAACAACTAAAAAAAAGTGGCATTCTTACAAAGTTTAACAAGTTAAAAAACATTTATCTATCAGCTAAGAAAATTCATACGTCACATGTCCACTATATTTGAAATTGTCAATAAAAAAGAATAGTTCACAGTTTATATCACATTTTAACGATTGGAATGCTTCATAAACTGTTAGAAAAGAGATTATATGAAAATACAAATAATAAAAATGTAAAAATACATATGTCATGATGCATACAATGTCCAACTTCAGATTTCCTATGTAAAACTTGCTTATAATTATCATATTTCATGCGTTTGGATCCACTTTCATCAATTGAATATCAGAAGCTACCATTTCTACCACCAATTCCTCAAAAACAAAAACAATTTTTCAGTAGTGAATAAACAATCTATTTTAAAAACTGTGCATTGCAGCGATGTCTAACACCAGAACAAGAGGATAAAAGCGTTTCTTGACCTCAAAGCGAAAAGTCTTTATTGATGATTGAAGTCTCATATCATATTAAAACATACCTTAAATGAAATTTTTGGTGTCCACCCAAGTTTTTCTTTAGCTTTTTTTGGAGAACCAAGCAATAAATCCTGCAATTAAGGTAAAAACTCAATCATTCTTTTTATCAAGAAAATTTAAATTGTTGTACTTACAACTTCAGTTGGACGATAATATTTCGGGTTGACTGTGATACGAACAATACCCGTTGCCTTTTCTTTCCCTACCTCATTGACACCTTGTCCTTCCCAACTGATCAACAGAAAAAAAGAAGTGTATCATTAAACTTAATCGAGTATAGGTTGGCAGACATGATTACTAACACAATTTCTTGACCAATTTCTTTAAATGCTGCCTCAACAAATTCTCTTACACTATGGGTTTCACCTAAAGTATGTGAGATAGAAAATAAATTTTCAATAAGAAAAAGAGAAATTAACCTGTAGCAATAACAAAATCTTCAGGTGTATCATGTTGAAGCATCAACCACATTGCCTAAAAAACAAGAATTAATCTAATACAATATCGTTAGTACGAGTTAATTTACTTCAACATAATCTTTCGCATGTCCCCAATCACGTTTTGAATCAAGACTACCTAATTCGAGTGATCTTTGTTGTTTCTCATGAATTTTTGCTACAGAACGTGTAATCTTTCTCGTAACGAAGTTAGAACCTAAATGAAATGTTTGAAAAAAGCTAGATAATGGTGTTGCGCAATGAATAAAAATTTCTGCTATTTACCTCGTCTTGGACTTTCATGATTAAATAATATACCGTTGACTGCGTACATGCCATATGCTTCACGATAATTTATTGTAATCCAATATGCGTATAATTTAGCAGCAGCTGCAATTGAAAATAACAAACATTTCTTAAACCAGAATGGTTATATCAAAATTTTTCTTACCATACGGCGAACGAGGATAAAAAGGTGTTGTTTCAGTTTGAGGAATTTCTTGTACTTTTCCATATAATTCTGACGTAGATGCTTGATAAAATCGAACCTCTTTTTCTAAACCACATGTACGTATTGCATCTAAAATTCTTAGGGTACCAACAGCATCAACGTCAGCCGTATATTCACTAAGATCGAATGAGATCTAAAACAGAGAAGTAAAAATGAAACGAATATATTTCAAAAAAAGCATTATTAAACTAACTCTGACATACTTTAACGTGACTTTGCGCACCAAGATTATAAATTTCGTTTGGTTTCACAGCAGAAATAATTTTCACTAGTGAGGAACTATCGTTCAAATCACCATAATGCAATTTCATTGCTAAAATAATAAACAAGATTAGAGTTTTGAGCATCAGACGACAAACCATGAACGTGTCCATTGACCTTAATAAGAGATATTGAATAACTAGTGATTGTAATTCTCAATAACTAGCATTGAGAATAAAGAAAAAGATATGTTTCTATTCTATTTAAAATTACTTTTCTCTGCAGGAGATTTACTATAATTAAACAAAAAGTTTACTTGCCTCCTTCACTATGCAATGATGGATTTTCATAGAGATGATTTATTCTTCCAGTATTGAAACTACTTGAACGACGTATGATTCCATGAACCTGAACAAGTAAGTTATTACATTGACTTCAATACATTGAAGTCAAATATCCAACAGAATAATAACGTACCTCATAGCCTTTAGCTAACAGAAATTCTGTCAAATAACTACCATCCTAAAATCGAATATCACAACAATTATTATCTAAACAATACACTCTTTTTTCAAGATGTTGTTGTAACTAACTCATAATAAAACTAATAGCATAGAAATATGTGTATGAAAAAACAGCATATGTATTTAAATAACTGAATATTTTATTAACAAATTATTCTTTTGCTTAGTTATTAAATCTTGTTTCAATGATATACCCTACTAAAAGAAATGTTATATCTTAAATTTCAAATTTACGTACATCAATGCTTTTTCATCACTAAAGATTGCGTATAAGACGTGAAGTAAAATAAATAATAAAAAAAACATCATACCTGTCCAGTTATTCCAGTGATAAGCGCAACTTTTCGTTTTGTTTTACCACTAGCTGTAGAGTCTGACATATCTGTAACTAGAACATGAACATCAATTAGTATTACTCTTATTTTTACACAAAATAATAATAATATACGTTCTTCTTCTTTCAATATTTCGCTTGCAATTGAATTTTATTGAGACTAAAGTAGTTACTAACGAAAGTGAAAATCAAAGTTATTAACTGAAGCCAGACCAAAAGCGCAAGTTTGAAAAAAAAATTGTGCCTTGTCAATGGTAACGTACAGGTAAAGAACAAAAGAATAGGAAGGGGAAAAGGTGAAGAAATGTCTAATTTTTAATAATCATATAATGAATGAAAATGGAAAAAAAGGGAAAAAGGAACAAGGTTTCTAATGTAAATATCTCGCATGTGGTACACGTTAAATAAAGAATAGCAAAAACGTCACGCGCTGTGAGCTTGCAATTACTACCTTATCGCTCTTTTCAACAAAAGGATAAATTAATCTCAATTATTTATTACTATTATCTCAAACTGCGTAACATTGATGTATTAAACTGGTTTTTCCTTTCCGAGAATAAATGGACGATTGCTACACACTTATTTTTACGACGTAGAATGGAATATTTTATGCTAATCAAGTTTTAACTTATTATAATCATATACAAAAAATTCATTACAGAAAATGCAAATCTAAGTGTATACATTACAAGTTATAGTAAAATTTAGACACACTTCAAATCTTAACCTTATAAAAGACGGTTTTTCTGAAATGCGTAATGGAAGAGAAAAAATTTCGTTCATCAAGACGAATTTGTCACCTAAAACTAGTACACATAATTCCTTGTATTGAGTGCAGTGGATGAGGATTTTGTATCTAATTATTTCAGAGATGGGTAAGTCACTTAAAGAATCATCTGGAATTTTTTTCCCTAAAAAGTTTCGAGCTACTTTTAGTAGCGTTTGATTCAAATTTGCTTGGGCTATAAAATGATATACCGCTATAAATTTTACCGTCTTCATAGATTCGGTCTAGTCCCTGAAAGGCAATTGTCTCGGACAAATCACTCAAACTTTTCGAAAAGCTCGAGTCAGTTACTTTTCACGGACTAGACCGAATCTATGAAGGCGGTAAATTTTATAGAGGTCAGTGGCGGCGCAAGGTCAGTTTTTCAGGGGAAGCAATAAACTTTAAAATGAAATTACGTTCGCTATAGTCCCTTTCTCTCTAGATAGTTATATCCAGTAGTAGATAGTTTTATTCTAGCAAATATACTGAAAAGCGCCAAAATTTTGAGGAAGCAATAAAAGTTTATTGCTTCCCCCAAGTTTTTTTAGGGGAAGCAATTGCTAACCCGTTGCTTGCTGGTGCGCCGCCACTGATAGAGGTATATCATTTTATAGCCCTAGCAAATTTGAATCAAACGCTACTAAAAGTACCTCGAAACTTTTTAGGGAGAAAGACTTCTAGATGATTCTTAAGGTGACTCGAAAAAGTAACTCCCTCACCTCTGAATTGTTCTGAGTTTTGAATGAGTTATCTGTACAATATACCACAGCTTTTAGGAGGGAACAAGAGTAGGGAGTGTAACGGTCATAGCAACGGTAAAGATCACACAGTTACAATCGTATTTTTCGTCAATATTATTATCACTCTATTAGTGGAATAATTTAACATCAGAAAATTCCGCTGGTATCAGTATATTTACATAGGTATACTTATTTAAATCACTAGTGCGGTCTAAGTGTATTTTTAATACATCAAACTCAGATTTATTTGGAATGGATAATTATTGAATGAGATTCTTTTGCAATATATTTAAGGTCAGGAAAAATGCCTGCAATAAATCGGTGGAATCCGTAGCAATCGAATCGCTTCGCGGTTCGTCCAATAATTGCGCTAGATAACTGCCTGACTAGGTGTGCGTTCTCAAAAGTGTGCGATGTATTGTTCACACACTTGCTCAAGCTAATCAAATTAATAGTGGCATGGAAACACTAAATCAGAGACAATCTTTAACATCAGCCAGGAGGGTGTTTCACAGAAATTCTTAAGTGCTCCACTTAGACTTAAGTCATACTTAAGTCTTCGTTTTGTCTCAAGTTAAGCTAGACTTAATTTGAGTGTTCCACAAAATTCTTAAGTCATAGATATAACTTAAGTTACACTTAATCCATGCTCAGGTTAAGAGTAATCTGTACTTGTCTTAACTCTTGCTGCGATTATAATATGACATAAAAATTGAAGTATTAGAGTAAACAAACAACATTTTTTAACTGTTTTTTATTGACACTTGTACTTTGCGAAATAAATAAAAGAAATAATGGCGTTAGTTAATCAGTGGCTGTTGAGGAGGGTGTTACGCTGTGAAAGAAATTTTTTTGACAGATAAAACCCTATGGAAACCATGACAGACGATTTATTGATGGCGCGTTATCGTTTTTATTAATGTGTCTTACGAATGCTTCCAATGTGTCCGGGCACAAAAATGTCTTAACTACGAAAAAATGAAAACGCTTTTAACAGCAAGAGGCTTTATACTTAAATGTTGATTAGCTATACTTCACCATTATAAAGCATTTTCGGTATTAATTCTACCCTTATACTACAAAAACTGTGAAAAAGGTGACGTTATATTAAATATCATTTTTCAATATGCACTCAAATTTGCTTAAACACACTCTACTACAAAGAGCTCTTTGTGTACTCTCAAAATACAATTTATATGACCTACTTTCCTTCTCCTTTCATGAGCTGTCAGAAATTCAAATTTGTTCTAAATTTTACATCAGAAGATTTTTTTCTTCGTGAAAGCTTGGACAGAATTGCACTATATAAGAAAAACAGATTTTTCAATTTCGACTTTGTTTCAGAGAAAACTGCAGATGTTTGGATTACAACAGTGAACAATTGTGGGATTTCAATCCGAAATGTTCGTAGATGATAGCCAAACATTTTTATCATAACCTGTTCACATTATGAACTTTAATCCTTAAAAGTTTCGTTCAAATCCGTTAGAAAAAAAATGTATAGGGAAGATCCTTAAACCAACACACCACTCTGCTAAAAAGAGTTTTGTTCAACGAAACGACTCCCCATGAGAGAAAAGTTATTTAATGAATGTTCTTCGAGTACGAAAAAACATCTAGTCAAGAGAAAATTAACTTTTGGAGAAACTATAGGCTTCTGGATAGCTTCTCAATAATAAAATATCAAAAAAACACGTTTTTATGTCGACAGACATTATCCGATTGCTCGAAGTTTTTTCTTTCTTTTTCTTGTTTAGTCACATTTTTTGAAAAATACGCACGCAGTGATGTAGAGAACTTCTAGAAACGCGAAATGGTTCTCCAGGTACTGCAAATCATGACTATTGAGCGTTCTTTTTCCAAAATCTAAGAGACTAAGACTGTTTTATTCACGAAAAGTGAAATCCGCTCTGGATCGGACACCAAAGGATGCAAAAGTGGAAGAAATTTGTGCTTATGGCTCAGAAATTTATTCTATATTTATTAACAGCTTGTTGCAAGACGCCCCTGACTCAGGCGCCACTTGGTCATGGGTTAATCAAATACAGCTCATTTATGGATATGTGATTGATATTACAAATGAGTCATTGCGATTTGTTGGTTTTTTTAATCTTTTTTCTCCTTTTCTCATATTTTCCATACGCTCATGCCATATCCGAGCTATCACGAACTCTATTGTTTTTGGAAAAAGTGCGGTAGATTGCAATACATCTATGCACCAGTTAAGTGCATGGACTTAACCTAAGACCGTGCGACTAAGCTGTGCACTTAACTTTAAGTCAAACTTAAGTTTGAAGTTGTGCAACACTTTAAGTTCGTCAACTTAAGTTTGTCTCAAATTTAGATAAGACATGGACTTAAGTGTAGAGTTAAGTTGATGACTTAAGAAGTTTTGTGAAACCTGATCTGCTACTTGAAGGGTACACAAAATGCTGTTTTCTGACTCACAATCAAATTACTGCTCATCTGCGCGGAACTGTTGAATACAGTTCAAGTGACTTACCAGTAAATTGAAACTATCTAAGAATACTCCATGATGATACGAAAAGCCTTACTTAGAGTGCAGAGCGGTTAATGGAAGAAACTAAACCTGAACAGGGACAAAGCCAAAGAGTACTGAAAAAAAATTGAGACAGAGAATAGAAAGTAACGTACATATAGCAAACTAACTCAATAATTGTATTGATTAAAAGCAAATTGTCATACTACTACAATAGTATATATTACTTTTCTTTTTTATTTGACGAGCATTGGTTGGGCATTGCATTAACAAATAGAAACAAATTACGTCGCTACCCTAGTCGACCGATCTTACGGCAATTCTATAGAAATCTTATACGAATCCTATATAAGACAGATGGAAATGGGTAAGATATTGATAAGATTCTTATAAGAATTCGGCAAGATAGATTATATAATTATTTTATAAGAATTCATAAGATTTTGGTAATAATCCATAAGGCCCTTATGGATTATTACCAAAATCTTATGAATTCTTACCAAGATGATCTTGGTAAGAATTCATAAGATTCTCATAAGAATCTTATACGAACGATACAATACAACTTCATCACATTCTTTAGTGATCGGTACTCTATATTCTACTGTTTCATACGTGAATAAACTAATTTTCTTTCCATTTATTTAATTTTTCTATAATAAGACCTTAGTCGCACGCGGACAGTCTCGTAATTTGCCCTCACTATCTACTGCTTGTAGACCGAATTTACTTCTACAAATTTATCATGGCTATAGAAAAATAAAAATACGTGAGATGAGAATGCAGGGCACAACATGTTGTTCATTTTCATAAATCCCGCCTTTTCAAACTAATCTCTGGAAAAATGCGCTACTTGAGATCCTTTTTTTCCTATAAAGATCAGATTCAATTCGAACTCTCTAAGTCGTAGAAAATAGAGCAGGTCGAATAGTACTAATATGCATCAAAACTCTTTTCATATCTGTCTTAATAAAGCACTAGAAGGAATCATAAAAGAACTTCATCTACTAAGCTAAGATTCTGATAAAAAGCGGGAT